AGCCCGCGCGCGTGCCAACCGCCAGCCGCTCGCTCGTGGGTGCGGGCGGGCGCCGGGGCGGCAAATTTTAGGACAAAAAAAAGGAAAGAAAGGGAGAAAAGACGGGAACGCGCCTGACGGTGACAGCTAAGAAACCAGCTCGGCGGCCGAACGGCGTCCCCCTCACCGGGGAGCGGGCCGGGGGCGCGGGTTTAAAAGGCTGAAACGGGCACTGCGTTTCTCGTTTGCGGTCGTTCGCGTTGCTTGCCCCGCGAGTGGGTTTTTTTTTTCCGAGTCTGAAAATGCAACGGAATCGGCGTTGTCTTCCTGCCCTGTCGGGAGTTAGGGCGAGGAAAACGTTCGTTTATTGTTCAGCATTCCCTGCCCTCAGCAGCGTTTTCCACCGAGCACTGGGCTGTTGAGTAACTTTCTCCCCCTACCCCCCCCCGACCGAGGCTGCTCTTCGGAAATTGGGGAATGCCCCTTGTCTCTCAAAACGGGGAGAGATCGAAATTGTAACCCACAAATTCTCGGCCGTGCGAGCGAGGTGTTAGAGCTCGGTGCTTCCGTCGGTGAAAATGGGAATTCCCACGGGACAGAAGCGGACAAAATATACCTCGGCCGCGTTCAGCACCGGGCAGGGCAAGAGTAGGTGAATTTAAACAGAGTGTCCCCAGGAAAAAAAAAAAAAAAAAAAAAAAAAAAGGAAAAAAAAAAAAGGGGGGGGGAAATCATGCGGGAGAGCATCAGTTCCCCACCAGTGTGCTGATCGAAAACTAACGATATGCAGAACACGCGGCCGGAACCATTCTCCGAAAAGGGAAAATATTTCGCTCTTTCCCGGAGCGGCGCCTGTGTATAATAAATACTGGTAATGTTCATGTACATAGTAAACACAGGCATCCGCTCACGGTGAGCACACGGACCGGCCGCCGGCCACCGGTTCGGCATGGAAAAACCCTGCTCTTGAAGCCCGTGCGGACGGGCCCACGGGCGAGCGGCGCAGGCGGAGCCGCGAGGCGGCGGGACGGGCACGGGCTCCGCCGCCCGCCCGGAGCTCCCAGCGCGGCCGCCGCCGCCGCCCGGGCAGGGCACCGGCCCTTCCCCTCGCCCTGCGGGCACCTGCGGGGAGGGAGGGAGCGTTCGTCCCGAGGGAGCCGCACCGCCTCCGAGTGCTCACGCCGGGAGAGCGGGGAGAGGGAAGCGCATCCCCCGCCGACAGGTATTATTCATCCCGAAAGAGAGGCCGGCTACTGTTTGGCTTACAAGCGTGACTAAAAGTCAAATACCCAAGGAATTCCACTTTCCCCCTTGGGGTCCCTCTTAAAAGGCACAAGCACGACAAAGGACCTGCTAGGTTAGGAAACAGAAGTCCCCTTTGCTTGTAAACCGACACCAAATTACAAACTACGGTTCTGCGGGCCGCTGGAGTAAATTACAAAACAGTTCGCCTCCTGTTTACTTTATCCACAGGGAACTGTGAAACCCAGCCACGATTTTAAAGCGTGTTTGTGTAACTTTCTTCTGCTCCTCTTGTTTGCGCTCCCCTCCAGCCCCTCTCCCCTTTCCCGCCGGGCAGGAGAGGTGCCTCTGCTCTCCTCCGGCGGGACGCACCCGCGGGAGGAGGAGGCGGAGAGCGGTCCCCGGCACCGCCGCTCCCACTCGTGTGCCGCGGGGACCTCCGCTCCCGCGCAGCCCCCCCCCGCTTTGGCCCGCCGTGTCAGCCGCGCCCGCTCTGAGCCGACACGGGCGGGTGCCGCGCCGTGCCGCGCTGGGGCAGGCACTGATTTCCACGCG